ACGAACATCCTGTTTTTCTTTCTAAAATAATTCAATTGTAATTAGTGTGTGGTTCACAGTTTTACAATAGGAAGTTTAGAATAGACTACTTATAGTTACATATGGAGCAACTGGAAGAAAGTATGGGCAGAGCCTTGTTTGCAGGCGCTGTGGCCGGCCTGGCTGTCGATTTAAGTCTTTATCCAATTGACACGCTTAAAACTAGGTTACAAAGTGCAAAGGTGATAGTCTTGATATTTATTTGGATTTAATTTTCAACTTTGAAGTTGTTATTTGCTCTTGAAACTTTATTAAATCAGATTCAAAAATTTTATCGTTTGGTTATTAAGTTTCATAGATTTTTAAATGGAGGTTTTTTTATATTGTTCTAAATTTCGCTTTTTGCTGTTACTTTTTCATCTATTACTTATTGTTGCTGTAACGCTGTTCTATGAAAGTGTAATTTGTCACTTAGTAGTATTGCTTAAAATTAGTTTCTTTTCTTCCACGAGCTTTGTGGGTTTAACTACTTTATCTGTTGTTGTATTGAAACCTAATTAAGTACTTGATGTAGCGATAACATTTGTCTCGAAAATGGTTTTCTGGAAAGGTAGATTCTGTAGGGCTTTGTAGCTGCTGGGGGCTTCCGGCACCTTTATCAAGGAATGAGTTCTGTTGCCGTCGGTTCAGCTCCTGGCTCTGCTCTGTTTTTTTGCACCTACGCGGCCACAAATAGACTCTTTCGGGAACAAAGTAATGTTCATTGTTTTAGTTCTGAACCACGAACCGATAAAAAATTTTTTTTAATTAATAGCTGCTTATTTCTGTAAAGTTTTAGCTCCCTTAACGAATGCATTGGCAGCAAGTGTAGCGGAGATCGTTGCATGTGCTGTTCGTGTGCCTACAGAATTGGTGAAACAGAGAGCGCAGTCGAAGGAGGGGCATCAGATTTCTCGTATTTGTCACTTAATTCTAAAGAATGAAGGTTTTTTGTTTAATACACTACTATATCTGAATTTAGGTGTTCTGTAAACGGTCACATTTTTTGAATGGAACCGTTTGAATTCCTAGCCAATTCTTTAGGTTTATTCGGGTTTTACCGGGGATACTTCAGTACGGTTTGCCGCGAAATACCGTTTTCACTAATTGAGTTTCCTCTGTGGGAGGGGTTAAAAAGAGTTCTTGTAAGGTAGGTGACTATAAAACTTCATTGTGCTTTTGATTCTTGGTTCTCTTTCACACTGTTATTTAATTTGGAAAATTTTGATTGATTAAGTTACGGGGTGGAATATACTCAATGTTCACCACCAATATTCTTTTTCAGACGTTTGAAACGAAAATGCAGTCCCTTGGAATCAGCAGCTTGTGGTTCCATAGCAGGAAGTATTGCTGGAGCAGTAACAACTCCTTTAGACGTTGCAAAAACTCGGATAATGTTGAATGAAAGCCCAGTTCGACCTACAATATGGTCAACACTTTTGCAGATTTTTCGCCATGGAGGTTTCGTTGAGTTGTATTCCGGTGTTTTGCCGAGAAGCGCTTGGTTAGCACTCGGAGGTTTTATATTTTTTGGAGCTTATGAAAATGCTTTAAAGCTAACTTTTTATGTATTTCCAAGCTGAAAGGCTTAAATCATTCATTAACTTGTTGCACTTTACCGTGAAATAGTAGTTAGGGTAGTAACAGTTTGTTTGCAGAGATACCAAGTACTGATTCATAATTGACTTGCTTTCTCTCTGGGGTTTTTCAAAAAATTGCTCTCAAAACTTTTGCCGATGTTCAGCTCCTTATTGGATAAAAGTTTTTTCGTCCGCTAGAAGTTTTCTAAGTGTCACGCTTCAGACTAGATATACGCATATCACTGTATAAGAAACTAAATGAGGCTACTGCATTTCCCTTTAGTTTAGTTTTATTCCCTGAAACTTTGGTATACACTGGTACTATTTTGGATAATTTGTATTGTTTCATGAAATGCAGTCATATTTGCCCTGAAATTTCTTTCAAATTTATAATCATAGCTTCTAGATCTACCCAATACATTTTTGCATTTTTTACTGTAAATTCTAAGAACCCAACGTGGACTTTTCATAACCCTTTGGTGCCACTTCTTCTCTGCAATGGGCGTTGCTTGTTTCAGCAAATATTGCAGTATTGCGCATTTTGCTCATTAATTTTTTGTTCAATTAATCATTGCGCTCGTCTGTGACTTATCAATGCTATTTTCATTCTTTGTTGTTAACGTGTTTAATGACCTCATTGTAATGCAGCCATTCTTGCTCTGATTATCATTATTTTTTGTGTGCTCAATTATTTTGTCTTTTTGAATTAAGTTCAGCAATTTAAAAAGTATTTTACTTGCCTTAGTTCAGTAGATATAGTGGTTTGGTTACTAGTCATTGTTTTCAAGGTAGGCCCGGAAGAAACTGATGAACTGAACCACTTAAATCAAGATCTCGCATTTAGGAGTGGGAGTTACAGTTCACTGGTACATTTTTTTCGGGATATCCGCTACTTGGCAAAATTGTCCCTTTTTCTTTTGATAGCAAGCAGCTTTTTCAAAAGTCTAAGATACTTGATTGTTGTGTGCAAGGTGTTCTGCGGGAGAGAATTTGGTCTATTACGTATTTTTTTCAGTTCCACGTTATAAAAACATTATTATTATGCATAATACTATATTTAGGCTTGATAGTAGCATTAAGAACGTTGTGATAGGTTACTCACGTGATCAGAATCTGTACATTAAACGGTATAAACAGCAGTTTGAATCTTGCGGCCATAGCACTATACATACATTTCAGTGTAAGCGGGTTTGATGACCTAATTGTTGAGATCAATCACTGTCTCGCAAAACTGTTCCTCATCCACAAAATCCGTACTAATGATGTTGATATTCGAGCGGTATTCGTAACCATGCTGAAAAGAATGAATTGGTGCGGACTTCAAGCGTTAACTTTTAAGTAGAATAAAAATCCTGAGAAAACTTTTACGTCTACCGGCGTATTTCGCGGAAGCTTATGAAGTTTAAAAAGACTGTTTGTAGATTATTTCCTCACAAGTGTGGTTACCTTCCTAAGCCAGCGAACTAAAGCCCGTGTAGTTCTTCGCGCGTAGCGAGTCTCAAAGGTTCCTAAAGGTTGCCGAATCACGGCGTTCAACGTAAGGGTTACTATGGCTTGGCAAACCTGAAATTTCGTTCTTCTAGCCTTCAATTAAAATTGAGGAATAAGACCATCGTCAAAAAAACAGCGCTTGCTCTTTTTAGAGTTTATGGATTGTTATTTAAGCTTTGTCAGATGGTTTAATTTTCCATTTTTAGGGACGGTGTGATCTTAGCCATACTTGAAATCCGTCGTCTAAATTTCGCTTTTTAAATATTTCTTGTACTTCTTCTATCATCTTTTCTGGTTCTTCAGTACGAGGCCATGGGTTCCTTATAAATTCATTTGACCAAATATACTTTGGTATTTGTGGAGGCTCTGAAATCGTAGCGTCGTTGTCTTTATCCTTTCTGGGTAGAACAAGTTTATTTGGCCGGTAAAACACGATAACCTGTAAACATTAAATTAGTTTTTCGTTTTGCTTTGCTGGAGTATATGTAAAGTAATTTAGTGCATTAATGACATTTATAACTCTTTATCGCTTAATAGTTAACTAGATATCACTTAATTTTAAAAACATTACCTGTCCTCCATCTTCCCAAATCTTGTTTAAAGTGTAGCTGAGGATGTTCTGGGCAGAACTAGGCCGTGAGATTAATTTTTTCCCGAAGACTGCATCTAGCAGTTCTAGTAGTTTAGCATGTTGGAATTCGTTAAATTGGTAAAATCGGTTGATGTCTATCAAAACAACTTCCTTTGGATGTGCTGTGGTGAATTCGTCTACTTTTCTGAGCAGCTCTAAAAAACCCGCTGAGTTGAGATATCAGAAACCTTAAAACTATAGGATGTGCTCCAATCTTCAAGCTAACATAAAGTTGATTTTTGAGTGGTTGTTAAACTTTTTTCCTGTTCGTTTTTGATGAGCGGGTTTCCGTGTTCAAACTGGTTATAATTATCAAGCTTGTTTCCATTTTCTTTTCCAAACCTAATTTCTGATTTCTCACTCATAACCATAAATTTGGCCTGGTGTCAGAAAAAAATCACAAATTTATGCCTTTTCTGAAACTAAACAATTTTCAATTCTTGTGCTCATAATTGTAATTAACCAAAAAGTTCCTATAATTTATAAAATCAGTGTTCTGCTGTTTAAAAAAAGTGACAACCTCGAATGGGCATGCAGTACAACCTTATAAAATCAGTATTCTGCTGTTTAAAAAAAGTGACAACCTCGAATGGGCATGCAGTACAACCCGTGAGCAACAAAAATGTTGTCGACTGCTGCTACCACAGTTACATCTAGATATCGAATCCCTGCTTCTAACTGAAATGTTATGGCTGTTACTAATGTATTAACGGAGTCGTGATAGAGATGAAAAAAAATTAAGGAGCGGAATTCGGCTAAAAAATAAAATGAAGTTTTGCTGCAGGTTTGGTTTTAATAATTTTTACTGAAAAAGTAGATGAGTACCTGCTGTAAAATATTCAGCGATTGATCTTTGGACCAGTTGTAAACAGCTTTCCGTACAGTATCGTTAGAGGTCAGAGCTCGGACACACCACGGTTGGTCCATTGTAATTTCGCTCTCCTCATTTAATTCGCAAGTGCCGCTGTGATGTGATCCTAAACTGAGCGGTTCTGTTTGCCGCTTTTCAACCTTTTATAGAAATTGTCAATCATGATGCTTTTATGAAAAATACAGAATTTATCCGATAGGTTCAAAGCTAAAAGGATTACCGGGAATTGCTAAGTTCATCAGTGGCCTTTCGCGGGCTGCAACTGGTAATTTTGACATCCAGTCCGCCATCCTAAACTTTGCTTGAGTTATTAGACTAGAATGCTGTGGACTTTTTGTAGCTTAAAAAACAAGCGTTACCAGCCTAGTATTACTTATCAGGCCGGATTTGTAATGGGATGCAAGTGACAATTAAGAATATAGCAAGTGAAGAAAAATGAACTTATACTGCAACCACTGATTAAAAATTATAATTGAACAGATATGACAAAATAGGAGAAGAATGGCTGGAGGCAAGGAAAAAAATTGTTTTTTTATACTGATGGTTTTTAGGGAGCTTTGAAAACGCATAGAAACACCGTATACGCTGAAGTTCCCAGTGGTTTGATATTGATTTATCGCGTAATGTGTGTAACTCAACGATGAAGGAGAAGAAGAAGAAGAAGAAGAAGAATAAGAAGATGGAAAAAAGCAATCAAAATTGTGCCGTTTTGTTGTAGAAAATGCAAAAACTCTCCTTTTATTTTTCTTCTAACTATTTTACTTTTTTTTTTTTTCATCAATCTTTTACGGCCGAACAACAACAACAAACTTCATTACTACGGCAGTAATGACAAAAAAAATAAATAAATGAATAAATAAATAAAATGACTGAATAAAATTTTCACGCTTACTGCTCTAAGAATAAAGAGTAAAAAAAACAGTTATTACAGTCAACTGTGACCAAATATTATAATCAAAAAAACTGGTACTGATTTTGGAAATTTAGGGAAGAAGAAAAAAGAAAGTTATGAGGTTAGAAAGAGAAACTAAGTTAATTTATCTATCTTGGAGTTATTTTTACTCCTGACCACTTGTTGTTTTGTTTCTGATGTTGAACACTATTTGCTATAAACAATATAATGGTTGCGATGCAATGATTTTTTCGGCACCGAAGACACCATACGGTTTAAAATCCGTTCTTCAGGACTTTGGTTTAAGTTTTTTTTTTCTTTTACTGTTGGTTTCCAGGAAAATTTCAACACTTGTTACTGCAATTTACAGCAGTGAATATTTGAAGCCAATTGGACGTAGTAAACAAGAAATTGAATGTTGGCGTTTAGAATAAACAATTTGGAAATGAACAGTGGAAACTGTAAAAAGTTTTTGCTGCCGTTGCAAAAATAAATTTTAAAGCACCGGAGTGATGACATATTTGGAAGATGAGCAGAAATTTGACATTGTTAATAGCAGTAGCATCTTTTGGTGTAATTCAAATAATGAAAGATGAATCATTTTACACAGCTGTTCTTTTCTTGCTTCTGTTAAAAAAGAAAAAATCATGCACAAATTTTTAGATGCTGATGGCGATGACATTATCATATCAAACGAGCTATCTGTTTTGAAATTTCAAAGATGAGGACATTTGAGGAGAACAAAAGAAAAAAAAAAAAAGAACAACAACGCAGAAATGTAAACGGCAACACAACTCAAAAGGTTTGTGATACATAAAAAAAGCTGTATGTTTTTCTTTTTATTTGTTTACTTTTTTCTTCAATAAACCAAAGGAGAGTTTTTTTTTTTTTTTTTTT